ACACTCTAAATACCTCTTTAAATGTGTTTGTTCAAAGGAGTTTGAAGACCTGGATGAAATTGTTGCTCGTTATGTCCAGCCAATGGCTTCTTTTGCCAGAGACCTGTTGAACCACAAGTACTATCAGGACTGCAATGGTGGAGACAAGAAGGTGAGACAATCCCAGGATGTGGTAACTTCTTTGGAAGATATCCATAGGCTCTGTGTGCTGCTGAAAATGTGGGCTCCCCTGGAGCATTTATCTTCTTTCTCTCTCTAATTAGAAGCTGGAAGAGCTGCTGATTAAGACCAAGAAAGAGAAGCCAACATTTATTCCATACTTTATTAGTGCCTGTAAAGATCTACCTGGTAAATTCCTCTTGGGATATCAGCCTCGAGGCAAACCAAGGTAAGTGAGAAGGCAAGCCCAGCATTTGCACTGAGTACTGCCAGTACCAAACCTCAGCTGACTGCTGCCAGTTTTTCTTCCAGCTCTGTCAGAATCCCTGTAAATCACACCTTCTCTTTCCCAGGATTTAGCCTCCTGACAGTGGAGGACCCAATTCTTCCAGCAGTAAATCTCACCCAGGAACCTCCCATGTTTTTTAACCATCTGGCTGCCACGAGCAGCGCTGCTCTCTGCTGTGGGTGTTGTGGGAGTGTAGGCAGGGAATGATGGATTTTTCATGGAAAGGCAGGGTAGCGTGAATTGTTTGGAGATAAAGTGTCTTGGATGGATCTGTTGGATCTGCATTATCAGTACAGCCATTGCGTGTGGTTTTAGTCCATGCCTGTTGTGAGTGTGACCTGTCAGAGGGTGACTGAAACAGCCTGTGATGTCTCCTGCTCTCCCTGCTCCTCCCAGGATAGAGTATGTGACAGTGACCCCAGAGGGATTCCGCTACCGGGGCCAAGTTTTCCCTACTGTGAATGGACTTTTCCGATGGTTTAAGGATCATTATCAGGACCCTGTTCCAGGTGAGCAGCCTGAAACTTCAGTGCCTCAGCTTTGTCTTTATCACACAATATCAGGGACAATTATTAAAGGGTGGTTCCATCTTCTTTGTCCCAAAAATGTGTCCTAGGATTTTTCTGTATGTGGGAAGTTTCCAAGCAATGCTTGAAATGTTTGGCTCCATGGACCAACCCACTCTCCTGAGAGTTAATATTTGATCACAGCAAAGTCTGGACCAGTCCCTTTCCTCTCCTTTGTCTCCCCACCATACAATCCAGCATAC